ACCTTTCTAGTAGCTAGGTCCTAATTATAGCCTGCCTTTAATAGAAGGTCTAGGCTTATTATATTTATGTAAAAATTCAGTATATAAGCTGTATTTTGCAATATAAATAGCCTGTCTAAGGTTTTTAGCTGAATTTTACTGTAACCTTTAATTTTTAAATAGTTAGTGCTTAAAAAGGCAGTATCTTGTTAAATAAAAAGCTTATATTTAATAAATTAAGCCTTATTGTTGCAAATATATATAGTAGATCTACTATTAAGGATAAAAGAGTTCTTTAGCAGATAAATAGCGTTATTTTCAATATAATTCGTAGATATAGTTGTAGATATAGGTATTTCCTTAGTAATAGCTTCTGTACTATTATTAGCAGCAAAAGCTACCCCTATAGAATTATCCTTTTCGTTATTAGTGTTTTTATTAATTAGTGTTTTTAGGTGTATTTTGCATCTTTTTCTTATTATATTTAATAGATTAGTTAATTTTCCCTTATAATTTAGAGTTTTCTTTTAGCTTATTAGCAATTTCTGTACTAATAGCTTCCTTAGGCTTCTAATAAAAGGGCCTAATATTAGTATTCAGGTAATAACACTAATTATAGTAGTAATATTAACCGCAAATGCATTTAGGTATAGGTTTTCTGTTATTTATTGTATTATTTATATTATTAAGTCGATTAGGTTAATTAGGTTAATTATTAGGGCTGTTTTTAGAGCTATTTTTAATAGATTCTTTAGAATTCTCTTAAAAGCTTGCAAAACTGCTCTTTATATTAGAATGCTGTTAATTTTGTTAATTTTATTTAAATAAATCTAATATTTTATAGCTATTAGGTATTTTATCTTCTTAATTAGGCTTATTTAGTTAAGCTTTATCTTAAATCTAGTTATTCTAGTAGCTAGAAAAGCCTAGATTTATAGTATTTATAGTAGATAAAAAGTTAATAGTAGGCCTTAGGCCTTTTATATTTAGTAAATCGAGCTAAATAGCCTCTATAAAGGCTTTTTAGTAATTTGTAATTTAGGTCCTAATTTTAGTCCTATTAGGGGCCCTTAATAGAGCTCTATAGGTTTCTAGAACCTCTTTTTTGTAATTCTAAGATGTAGGCTTAATTTAATCTTTTAATAGCTTTAGTTGTATAGAAATATTAGATTCTGTTAAAATAGTATTGTAATAGTAACTAACTATGCTTATTATATAGCTCTATATATTATATATAGCTTTTTAATAGGCTAGATATAGCTAGAGCTAAATTTAATAGCTAGCTCTAGCAATATTTAGCTTTTTAAGTTCTATATTAGTAAGGTTAGCAATATGCATAGCTATAGCGTTAATATCCTTATAGCTAGGCTCTTTAGGCTTTATAAGCTTATTATTAGTATTATACTTAATATTAAAGTTAATATAGTTCTAAATATTCTAGCTTATAGCGAATTTTTTAATAATAGAAATTTATTTATACTAATTAGTTAGGCTAGTTAAGGTAACCTTTTAGGAAGCCTCTATAGCGTTAGATTTTATTTTAATAGTTATATAGCAATTTTAAGCGTTTTTAGACGTTTTTGCCAGTTTAAATAGCGTTTTTATTAGTATAGTAGATTAATATAAATTTCTGTGCAGAAGTTGCTTCTTTTCATAGTAAATAGCTTGTTATATAAAAGCTTAGTTAAATAGGTGTAAATAGGTGCAAATTCTATTAAATAATAATAAGATTTAGAAAAGTAAGTCTAAAGTAGGTCTACAGTAGGTTGCTTAATTAAATACTAAATTCTAATTAGTTAGAGGTTTAGCACTAAGCCTAAATAGAAATAGTATATTTCTAATAAAGTATAGTGCATAGCGTAGAGCTTGCAGCAACTAGGCTTATAACTATTGTCTAATTAAGAGACTCTTTATAATATAATAGAGATATAATAAATAGAGCTTATATAATCTAGTTAATTACTAAGTATAAAATAATAGAGATTCTTAAGGTATACGCCCTGCGAGTTGTTTTCCCTAAGACATAGCAACAGATATATATTTAGCATATGTTTATAAATATAAAGGCAAAAACCCTCTCCTGTTAGAAACCTTCCAACAATAATAATAATAATAATAACCTAGAAGTTAAGGCGTTTAATAAATGCCTAAATAGCCTTACTTTAGCAGTTAAATTACTTATTTATGCATAAGAAATTAAAGCATTTAACTCTATATAGAACTAGATAAAGAATATATATAGTTTACAGCAATAAGGCATTCTTAATTACATTAAGAATACTTATTATAGTTAGCGCAAGTAGTAAGCTTATTATTATACTTAATTTTATTAGAATTTTAAGTATACAACTATAAGTCTAATTAAAGCAGTATATTATAATGCAAAATTCTATATATATATTAGTAATAACAATTTATTTATGCTCTTTTAATTAATTCAGCAGATAATTCTTAAAAAAGATTACAAATATTCTTAAAAAGCAGCTATAATAAAGCTTTAGCAGCAAAATGCATATAGGCACAGCAAATAGCTTAGTAATTTACCTATATAAATATTCTATAAAGCTGTTAATCTCTTAGCCTACTAGTATAAGCTTGCAGAAGCTAATTATTATAAAGGTAAACAGCTTTAACCTTATCAGGGAAATTGCTCTTTTACACACTAATTTATGCTGCTTTATATATATATTATTCTATTAAAGCTATAAGTATAATAGCTCTTAAAAAGAAGCAATATTTCTTATTATTAGTAGCTTATAAAGCTGCTAGTAAGTCTTAGTTTTAATCTCTATTAATTTATTACAGAAAATATACTTAATATTAACTTATAGACTTCTAATGCTCTATATCTTTAAATTTATTATCTTTATAGAATTAATTGCAGAAGATACTGCCTGCTGCCCTTAAATATATAATACTAAAATTCTAATAATAATAGCAGTTAACAGCTAAGTTAAAGGCCTTAATTAAGCTCTTAAAGTTGCTAACAAACTAATTTAAGTATATAATGCGTAGTAACACAAGATAAATTAGTTAAATAATTTAAGATATAATAATAAAGAAGACTTGCAATATAGTTAAGGCAGCAATTAATAAACGCTATAAATAACATACAACCTTAATTAATAAGTAGACAAGCTATAGAGCAAGCAGCAGTATTAGGGTTGCTATAGATTTAATAGATAACCTCTTAGGAGCCTAGGCAGCGCTCTTAGAGGCAGCAGAACAATTAACAGCCTAGGCAGCAGAATAATTACAGCCTGTAATATATATATATTTATTAAAAACACTAGAAATTATGTTTTTAAGCGATTTAAGCGCTACTAGTGCTTGCCTAGGCTTATGTTATTAAAAAAATAATAGATTTAATTTAAACACTAATTAAATTTCTAAAAAGCAGGCGCAACTATACAGGTGTATATAAAAATGTATAGTGGGGTGTGGGCAGTTAGTCACTAGGCTAAATCGAGCCGCGGTAGCACGAATAGATAGGGTTGGTAGCACGAATAGCACGACCCGTTGTAATTTGGGTTCAGCCCGTCGTTGGCCTGTTTTGATTTTGGCGTTTTCTGGAAGTTGCGAGGTGACTGGTTCGTTCCACGCGGACTGGGGCCCCAGCACGACACGGACAATACCCGAGGAGAAAGGAAGCGACATGCCGGCTGGACTTTATTTCATTGGCCTCGTTGTTCCACAAGGCAACTACGGAGTATTGGATTGCGGCACAGAGCAAGAGCAACCCGAGCGAGATGCGCGGCAAGAAGGGAGGGGGGGCTGCCGCACCCGAAGATGTCTCAGCTACTCCGTACTCCGTACTGACGGGGAAATCACACAAGTCTCACTCACCCCAACCTGATGATTTTCGTTGCAACCAACTCGTGGGTATTTATGACCTGTGCTTTGTCTCTGCGCTGTCTCTGGCAAAAACACGGGCACGCACACCCCCATGTCTAGCCATGGCACGACGGACCATGTCTAGGTTGATGGTCGCGGCAGTCGTGTCGTTGCCCGCGGCTTTGTCGGCGCAGATGCCGCTTTCTCACAGCCTCTCTGGACCAGCAAGCAAGAGTCCTTTTACGGGCGACTTTGGAAGATATGTGGAGGGTCTGATGGATGAGTGGAAGTTGGCCGGTATGGCCGTAGCCGTCGTCGACGGCGACGACGTCTTCACAAAGGTTCGTCCGCAGCCACGCACTCTTATGCCTGTGGGCCCTCATCATCAGGCGGACCGGGAGTGAGCTAAGCGCGGCCGCCTGCAGGCATACGGGTACTCGAACCTCCCTGACACAAAGGCCACGCCCGAGACCCTCTGGTGCGTTGGCTCCACGACCAAGGCACAACTCGCGGCGTCCCTGGCCCACCTCATCGACACCGAGCACAACTCTCAAGGACGGCTGGTCGACGCGTATCTCGTCCATCATCCGCGACGACTTCGTCCTCCAAGACGCACATGCTACAGAGCATCTGACGCTCGACGATGCCGTCAGCCACCGCACGGGCTTGCCGGGCCACCACCTCTCGCTGGCCACGTATCCCAACTCCAGCACGCCCGTCAAGGATGCTGTCCGGAACCTGCGCAACCTCCCCATCCAGCTGGAGCTCAGGCTGGAATGGCACTACTGCAACCCCATGTGGCAGGTCCTGACGCACGTCGTCGAGACCGTGACGGGGAAGTCGTTGCGCGAGACCCTGGAGAGGGTCATTTGGGCCCCCCTGGGAATGAAGTCCACGTTTCTCGACGTGGACAGCGCCAAGGCGTCCGGGCTGGATCTCTCCACGGGGTATTGGTACGACGGAAAGAAGGGGAGGCACGTCGCCATGCCCTTCATCGCCACAGCCGAGGTCTCTGGCGCGGGCGCCGTCATCTCTAGCGTACTTGACCATGCGAAGTGGGTAAAGGCGCTCTTGAAGGGGGATGCGTTTCTCTCGGAAGCCGTGCACGAGGACGTGGTCCGGCCGCGCTTCATTTCCATGACGGAGCCGAGCCGGGGCTCCGACGTGACGACATACGCGCTGGGCTGGTTCCGGACGCGACTACACGGCGAGATGACGATTTGGCACTCTGGTTCGACGAGCACGCACGGCGCGCTGGTGTACTGGCTGCCGGAGAGGCAGTACGGCGTTGTTGTTTTCGCGAACTACCCCAACGGCGTCATGAAGGCGGTTACATATCGCCTCATCGAGGACAGATTGGGTGTTCCGCAGGACAAGCGTATCGACATTGACGGATTGTAAGTCCAGCCGGTTGAAATTCACTCAGAAACAAAAAAAAAAGTTTCATGCTAAGTACGCCGATGCAGAGAAAAAGAAGACGTCAGAAAGGCAAAGCAGGATTTTGCCAACGCCACGGCCCTGCTGTTCCCCGACCTGCCTTCTCCTCGTCTCCCTCCCTCGGTGGACATGGCATCGCTCGCAGGGACATATCACCATGACGGATATGGAAAGCTCAAGCTCATACTCACCCAACAGGCCGTTGGTGAGGATGGGGGCAGGGGAAGGACACTGCTGGTTGCGGATCGGCCAGAGCTCATCTTTGCGCAGCGGGTGACACTGCAGCACGCTTCGGGGGATTACTGGACGTCACTGTGGCGGACTAGAGATGACGACCCTGAGGCTGGGCAGTTCTTCAAAGCGCGCTTCGTCATGGGTAGCGACGGCGAGGTGCAAGCGCTCGAGGTTACACATCGGGCTGGTGCGCATGGGTTCTTGGACGGGGTTGTGAGCTATGCGAGGGTCAGATAGCGTAGGCGACGGGGAGCTCATTTTGCGTTTGTGCGGTGTAACTGGGTGCGGTAGCTCGATAAGTGAGGGTGATGTTTGCAACATGAGGGTGAACAAGTTGATGATGAGTCGTTTTTGAATGAAGGAGGCGTGGCTAAGGCTGGTCTCGAGACAAGGTGACGGTGATTTGTCAAGGTGCTCGTGAGTAGTACAGCCATGAGTCATGACGATGACGAACACTCACCGTTGACTTTTTCCAATGGCCGGGACGACACGAAACGTGAACACCGCCTCTTACAGTGCGGAATCGAGCACATTCCAGTATGCACTGTGTTTCTCCCGCGGCCAGCCGCCAGCCGCCAGCCGCCAGCCGCCAGCCACCCAGCGGAGCCACCCGACACCGACAGCCGCCAAGGTCTCGGTCTCGGTCCTGAATGCTGATGCCCGCCCATTCATACTTTTCCACTCTTTCAACCAGCCAGCATCATCCGCATCATGACCGCGCCCGCCTTGGCCCAACACCCGACACAAGAAGCGTGAAGGAAAATAAAAAAAAAGAGAGAAGGAGGAAAACGCAGCCGTTCAGTTCCCCGCAACCCGCTCGTTGATGCGCTGCACACGCCCCAGGGCGCAATTCGCACGCACCACCATGGCACTTTACCGCCGGCCATCCGAGGCCAAGCTCATCTGTAAGCGCGCCTCACCTTGAAGGAGAAGGACGGAAGACCAGCAGACGAACCCTTAAGGGGGAGGGTCAAAAGACAAGAGAGAGAGGGGGGCAGGAGAGAACAGGTCTGGATGAAATGAATGCCAACGCTTCCCTCGCGTCCCAGTCGCACCAGCAGGCTCGTCCCCGCACGGCCAGGCCGAGCAGTTCACGAGGGCGACGCTCTCCCGGAGGGACCTGAACCCGACGACGCCGACGCCCCAGTTCAGCAGCTGGTTCTCGCAGGCGCAGGCGTGCGCGGCGGTCGCGCAGCCCGAGGCGTGCACGCTGTCGACGGCGGAGCTGCCGTCGGGCCGCGTCTCCTCGCGCATCGTGTACCTCAAGGAGCTCGACGCGGCGGGCGGCTTCGTCGTCTACTCCAACCTGGGGACGTCGCGCAAGGCGGCGGACCTGGCGACGAACCCGCACGCGGCGCTCGTCTTCTTCTGGGCCGCGCTGCAGAGGCAGGTGCGCGTCGAGGGCGTCGCGAGCCGGTACTCGCCCGCCGAGAGCCAGGAGTACTTTGACACGAGGGTCAGGGGGAGCAGGATCGGCGCGTGGGCGAGCCGCCAGAGCGAGGTGCTCGAGCCCGACGGCCGCGTCGACGGCGACGACGGCCGCGCCCAGCTCGAGCGCTGGGTGGCCGAGGCCGAGGCCAGGTTCGAGGGCAGGGAGGACATCCCCGTGCCCGACTTCTGGGGGGGCCTGAGGATCGTGCCGACGCGCGTCGAGTTCTGGCAGGGCCGGCCGTGCCGCCTGCACGACCGCTTCGTCTACGTCCGCGAGGAGGGCAGGGACGGCGAGGACGACCAGTGGACGCTGCAGAGGCTGAGTCCCTGACGAGGTGCGGCCCGGGAGGAGGGCGGCGCGGGCGCACCACAATATTGTCCACTCGTAATGACTCGCTTATTATTGTTCCAACGCAGAGGACTCTGTCACCGTAGATACGTGCGCTATACTCGCTGCGGCGTGCTCTAGGGTAGGCGGCTACCCTACACCCCTCCGCTGCAGGGTAGGTGGCGTGGCGTGGGGTGCCGGGTGGGGGATGTGATGCGGTGCAGGGTAGCTGCGCTGTAGGGTAGCCTGCCCCTCCCTAGCGCCGCTTGTATAGCAAGGCATACATTTTTCTTTGCGCTGCTGCGCCTGCCTGCAGAATCTAAGTACGGCCTATGGCAACAGGGGAACTGCGCCTGTAAACAACTGTTCTTTTTTTACCTACCCTGCTGGGGCAGGGCTGCCACCAGCCCTCCACAGCAGGTAGCGGCCAGCCTGCTGTGCTAGTCGCCGCAGCCTGCCTTACTTACCCCCCAACCCTATTAACGGCCCGGCCACGCTACCAGGCGCTTGTAGGCTACTTTTTATTTTCTGCAAAATTTATTTATATAGGAAAACAAAAAAAATCAACTCACGCCTATACTGCCGAGACGTGTCGCCTACATGCACCTACTCTGCGCCTCTCTGTCTCTGCAAACAGACTGCCTAAGTGTAGCTGCCTACCCTACAGCCCCTGCAGGGCAGACCCCTCGCAAAGGCCGCGCGCAGGCTGACTAAGTTAAAACTGCCTAAAGTTAAGCAGCCTACCTAGTACTACCTGCCTGCTAGACTAGACTAGAGGGCAAAACCCTGCCTAGCAGCCTCTGTCCGCCCCTCTATACAGCCCCTTACCCCTGTTTGCAGTTGTGCGCAGGGAGGAGGCAGGCATTAGGGAAATTAAGGCGAAGAACAGCTTACCCTCAGCAGATTGTAACAATAAGGCTACTCTACTGCTTATAGAACTGTTTTGCACAGCTAAGTTATCTGCAAAGAATTTAACTCTACTTATATTAAAATTATAATATACAAATTACTATAAATTATACTTTCTATGCTATAGATAAATCGCCTGCTAAAACGCTAAGCTAAGGCCTATTCTTGTCTATTTATATATATAGGCAGTATTACTGCATTTTAGTGTAGATTCTAACTTAGAGGCGTTTAGCTATTATTTAGCAGATAGTAGCTTTATAGCACTACTTAGTTAGACAGCTGTAAAAACTAATTATCTAAATTAGCAGTTCCTCTTATACTAAGCTAAATTACTATTGTAGTAAGGTTATTAGTAGAGTAAAACTAACCTATCTTATAACAGTCTAAACCTAGCTTACATTCTCTATTTAGAGTAATTACAATACTTAATAGTTAAATGCTATTATAACTTAACTCTAGCTCTAGCATTAACTTATTTATCCTCTATATATATAATTATACCTAAGCTTATAGAGAGTATTTCCCCTCTCTACTTAATCGCTCTTCTATATAATTTAGACTGTAAGTCCTTTACATATAGTATAGTTTCCTGTAGGCTTAGTATGTCTCTTAAGCAACCTTAAATATTTAAGAGTTGCCTATACCTTTCTGCGCTCTATAGAGGCTATTATAAGATTGCTCTTATAGAGCTCCTCTTAGGATTAGCATAGACCTCTTGGCTCTTAGCCTTCCCTAATCTAAGTTGTATTGCTAGATAGCACCTATAGCAATATACTATTTTAACTAGCTAGTATAATCTTAGCCCCTCCTCTCTCTAAGACCTAACTATCCCTACTAATAAGAAATAAATTTTAGTAGGTAAATAATTTAATGCTTACTAAATTCTGCTTTAGTATAATAGAAAGAGCTAACATTAAAGAATTAAAAAGCAATATTGCTATAAACGCTTAGCTGCTATAAGCTAGTTCTATAATACTTTGCTCTAGCTTAAAACTAGAGACGCATACTACTTCTCAGCAGGCACTGCCGGTAGGTAGTATTACCCTCTTAGGTAGGCGTAGCCTGTACCTTAAGCTGCTAGGGGGGGTTCTTTCTTAGCGCTTTATATCCCCCCCCCTAGTAATCTACACCTTAGCAAGCGTTAAACTAGCTAGCATCTCTAAGCATATAGAGCAGCTAACTTAGCTGCAGATTGTCTCTATTGCCTAAATTTTTACTATACCTGCTATTATTAGAACTAGCAGAGCGTTATCCTGCTAAGTAGTACTAAACGCTTTGCAAGAGTTCCCTACATCTAGGTGTATTGCCTTTATTCCCTCCTAGTGCTATATAGAAGAGATAAGACTAAACTAAGGTTAATAAAACTTAGCCTAGGACATTTTACTTACTAGTAACTACCTCTTAGCAGTAATCTTAACACCTTAACCTTAAACATTATTAAAGCTTAAGTGCTACTACTACTGCTGTATATAGAGACTGCTATAGGTATAAGTATAGTTTATCTCTATAGTAACTTTTCTAGCACCTCTAGCCTTAAATATTAAGAGACTAAAGAATTAATAGGCTATACTTTTATAGTTTATATTTACACTAAAAATTAAAATTAAGAGGACTTTTACTCTTTTATTCTACTAGAGATTTCTGTTCTCTATAAGCCCCCCTTAGAACACCTGCGTTATAGTTTAATAAATATACTGCTCTAGCTAAACTCCCTACCTAATAATGTCTTTAACCTAGGTTAGCCTGCAAAGAACCTTAAGACTAGAAGTTAAATGAAAATCTAGCTCTACTTTATTAAATAAGTAAAAAAACAATAGAAGTAGTAGTATTTTACTAGCGCTAAAGCTCCTACCTATTCTATACCTTCTATATCTTTTTATAATGTTAAACTAGAGTTAAGCTTAATAGAGTCTTCTTTCCCTGCTAATTCTGCTAAGCCTATTCCCTTAGCTGTAGTTTCGCTAGATAGTAGATAGAGATAGTAGGAATCTTGTTAATCTATTTATATACATTACTAATTAGATAATAAGGCATTTAGCTACCTTAAGAGAGTTATAGTTACTCCTGCTGTTTACCTGCGCTTAGTTAAATTACTTTACTTTAATATTTAGAGCACTAAGCAGAAATTATATTGCATTAACACTACTTTCTAGCTATTATAATGCTATATTTTAATTAGATAGTTAGATTCCTCCTATCTATACTAGTTCTAAGTTAGTTGTTAAGCGTGCGCTAAACAGCTAAAGCCTGCTAAGAGCATTAGCACTTAGATACTAGCTGCTGCCGGCTAGTTGCCTAGCTAGTAGCTGCCTGCTCCTAAGGCGTTCTCCTAAGGCCTAATGCATCTAACCCTTGGAGCTAATTTTTATCCTAAAGTTATAGATTTATTTTGCTGAATTCCCTTATCTATATTGTTCTATTAACTAGAGGCTGTTTACCTTAGAGACTTACTGCAGTTATAAGTACAACCTAGCGTAAGAATTATTCTCTTCTGCAGATTTTCAAGAGACGTTAAGAGCGCACTAAACTCAGCAGAAGTGCTAGGCTCTTCTAGCTATTAAACCCTAGC